TATGTAGCGTGTGTACACCCACCCATATGGCTGACTTTTTCGGGTTGTTCGTCAGCCATGCAACATGATCGGTTTGTGCTCCACGTTTTTGACGCGGTAGGAAGAGAGAGTAAGTCGGCGATTTGACACCCTCACGTTGATTGACAGTGCGTGTATTTCGGTTCCGCACACATGCACACCCACGCAGAGAGAGAAAGAGTGAGAGACATGCACAGAAGCTGGCCGTCACTACACACACATGCACCTCGAACGAAGACTCTGCACGATCGTGGGCGGTGACTGATGACTCACAAGTGTATCCGGCCGATCATGACGCGTATACGTATCATGTGTACGTACCTCCTTCCGACACCATACGTTTCAGATTGTTTGTCTGACGAAAGAGGACTAGTCGGCGGGAGGGGCTGGTGGAGATGGGTCCTGGTGCAGTGATTATAGATACGTGCATACAATTAGCTGACCACCATGACCACGTCACTAACTCACTCGACTTTCTTTATATTATTGTGTATGCATCTGTGTTGTCTGATGTGTGTACGGTGCCCATGGTGTGTGTGTGTCCATGGAGTGTGCATGGTTAGTGAGTGAAGTACGTGGCTGTAGTGCGCGAGCGAGTCACCAGTAGCAGCAAAGGGACGGCGGTGTCGTAGCTACTAGTCGGGGGGTGGTGGATTACGGTGTTCGTCTCACCGACCGACCCCGTGCCTCATCGAATGACTGACTTACCTGAATGCAAACCGATTGACTGACTCACCGGTGTTCATCTGATAGGTGCTGACTGGTAGATGCCCAGTCAGCAACTCATCTGAAATCGCTTCCCGCCCCACAAATAGCACACATCGCTCAAAGGCATTCCCAGCATTTCCCATCTTCGTATCACGGAACTGCCACACACAGTCAGGACGAGGTGTCTCCCAAGCCCTCCGTCAGAGCAAGCACACTGAATTGGGGCACCCAGTGGCCGTACTGCATGTACGCTTCGTCCCCACCACCCCCGGCCACCATGAACCGCTGCTTCAGCCCAACAATCACGTGAGACGCGGCCGCTTCACGCGTCCTTGCGCCCACTTTACGTGCTGTCTCGCCGATGTGCGCCGCCGCGGCAGCTGTCTTGACCATGGCCCATGCGCGGCTCCACACCCTGCCAAGGTTGTGTCCGTTGGCCCCCGTCTGGTTGACGCGTGGCACCTCCAGTGTCGCATCGCTTATCTGATCGAGGGCCTGGAGAAACACCGGTGCAGATATGTCGAGCGCATGGGCCCACAGGTAGCACTGCGACCAGAAGGGCGAGAAGAAGCCGGATGCCTCGTGCTCGGCGGAGGGGACGTAGGTGGGCGGGGAGGGGAAGCGCTTTTCGATAAGAGCGAGGATGTCATGCGGCGGCTGCTGTCGAAAGCGGGCATACTCGAGCAGCTGGAGGAGTGCCCAGGCATCGTTGTGATATGCGGGAGAGTCTTGCGTCGGCGAGTGAGACACACGATACCTTCGAATGACGTCGAGCACACGCCCAGCATCGATGTCTGACGCTTCAACAGGATGGTGTCTCCTCGGCGTCGATGGATTGGCGTCGTTTTCCTTGGCGTGCAGCCGCCTTGCCGCTGCTCCCACTTGCAAGAACGACAGCTCGGATGCCTCGCTATGTGCCGGGCTGCTGTAATGTTGCCGCAGCTCGTCAAAGACCTCGTCACCCAGCTTAAACAGCCACACAAGCGACTCATCAGGCCCACCATGCTCCTCGTGATGCCAAACAGCGGTCTCTCGCACCAGCAGCAGCAGCCACGCTCGCCCATAAGGCAGCTCGAAGCTCCGATACCGCCTGAGGCCCTCGAGCGTGTCCTTGTCCACCCTCTCCGATGTCAGTGTGCGCTCGAGCGTTGTCGCCATCCTGCGTATGTCATCAGAGAGAGCGTCAGACTGCCGAAGGGCCCTGGCGACTCGCAGGACAGCCCAGTGTGCATGCACGGCTGAATGCCAGTCGATGCAGCCGTGGAAGGCGGCCACCAGGCCCGAATCGGAGCTCTCTTCGGTGCTGGGGCCGTGGTCCCTGCGAATGAGGCAGTCGAATGCCATCGATGCAAAGTGCTCCAGCCACTTGACAAGTTGCGGGGCGATGGGAGTCACCCATAGCAGCGGCCGGATCTCATCGAAATAGCCAGGTTGCTGGACCGTCTTCTTCAACTCGTCGGTGTGGAGGATGTGATTATCACCATGTGAGTCGTGAAGGGAGGGGCGCGGAGACAGAGTCGATGAATTCAATGGAAGGGGCCCACCTGCATTGCCGCAGCTGGCAGTCCAGCCCCCGTCCAGTGTCTCATGTTTGTCTCTCACCTTTTTGCAAAGCGTATGGGAAGAACTCACCGTGGAGGCCTTCCGATGCGCAGTGCAGCATCGATAGAGCTGAGAACACGAACAGCAAAGAGAGCAATGGCATGGTGACAGCCCGACTCGCTATGGAGAGGCCCTGCGAGGCGCATGCACTTGGCAATTGAGATGATGAGGGTGTGCAATGCAACGGACGATGAGGATTTGCGAGGGAAAAGAGAAAAGGGGCTTCAACTCTAGCTCGCATTCGAGCTCGCAAAATGAGTGACCGGGCCGCTGTTTGCCGTTTGACGACATCCTCAACTGCATCTGGTCATCCTCATCGTATTGCGTGCAGATCAGCAACGGATCTTGAGTCAGCGGTCCGATGGCGAAGAAGGGTGCGAGGCGACGGAAGAGGCGCACGCACGTGGTCCAGTCGGATGAGGCCTTCAAGAATCTGCCCAAGAGCTTCGTCTTCAAGAAGGGCCGCGTCACACCGAGCGTCCGGCTGCTGGTCCAGGACCTCCGCAAGCTCATGGCTCCATTCACCGCCCTCAGGCTGAGGGAGGCCCGCGTGCAGAAGGTGCGCGACTTCATCAACGTGGCTGGGGTCTTCGGCGTGACACACCTCGTCATGCTCAGCCAGACGGATGTGGCTGTGTACCTCCGCATCGCCCGACTCCCTGCCGGCCCTTCCTTCACCTTCCGCGTGCACTCGTACACCCTGGCGACTGAGGTGCGAGCGAGTCAGAAGAGGCCGCGGGCGACCACGTCTGACTACGACAAGTCGCCGTTGGTGGTGCTCAACGGCTTCAAGGAGGGCAAGGCAGCCGAGGGGTCTGGTGAAACGGCCGGCGCCCTCAAGCTCATGACGGTGATGCTCAGCAACATGTTCCCGCCAATCGACGTCAAGAACATGCAGGTAGGGTAGAGAGGAGCACGGGACATCGAGAGAGAAGAGAAATCCCAGCCATCAGTACCTTCTTGTCTTCCCTCGTCCTCTCTTCAGGTGGGTGACTGTCGTCGCGTGGTGCTGTTCAACTATTCCCCAGCGGGCAAGGCCATCTCCATGCGCCACTACGCCATCGTCAAGCGCCCCGCTGGCATGACGCGTGGCGTGCGGAAGCTCCTGCGCACCAAGTCGGAGAAGCTCGTCAACCTGGGCACCAAGACCGAGGTGTCGGACTTCGTCTTGTCGGGCGGTGTGGGCGGTGTGGGCGATGCCTCCGATTCGGAGGTGGAGGACGCAGCGCAGGTGGCCGTGCCGCCGGCGAAGAGGGAGGCGCAGACTGAGGAGAAAGAGATTTCCGTCAGGTGAGAGAGGTGGATGACCACACACGGGGCTGAGCGATCGGTTGGTTGGTTGGTGTGTTGGTTTGCATGGATGCAGTCTGATTGAACTGGGCCCGCGCCTGACGCTGCAGCTCATCAAGGCCGAGGAGGAGATGTTTGCCGGAAAAGGTGAGCACATCACACGTCAGTTGCCGTCGTATGCATTCGGACGAGTGTCTGTCTGTGCGGTGCAGTGCTGTTTCATGAGTACGTCAAGAAAACGCCGGACGAGATGCAGCAGCTCGACAAGAAAGCCCACATACTGAAAGACAGAAGAAAGTAAGAAAGCCGATGGATGCACACACGCATCAGACAGCCACCTTTGTGTCTGCCCATGTCAGGGAGCAGGAGAGGCTGGCCGAGCGTCTTGCTGAGAGGCAGCAACGCAAGATGCTGAAAAACAAGCCAGCAGAGGAGGCAACAGCCGAAGATGGCGGAGATGCAGAGGTCAGTCAAAAGGCGAGCGAGTGCGCCTTGCTGATCGCGCGTCATTGATTGTATTCATGTGTCAGGCTGACGACGAGGGGGATGACAACAGAGAGGACGACAGCCCCTCGGCAACCAGCAGGAGCCGAACAGGAGCCACACAACCACAAAAGACCAAGTAGGTCCATCCATCCATTCGCCGCACCAACAACACATCACACACACCACCCTGTGTGTCTGTGTCTGTATGTGCAGGTTCAATCCCTTCACGTTCAAGGCCAAGAAGAGGAAACAAGCTCAGGAGCCAGCCGCCGATGGCGTGCCAGATGGTGCGAAGAAGATGGGCGGTGGTCGCTTCGAGAAGCAGCAGGCAGCCGTGCTGGCCCGGTACCACCGATCCAAGGAGGGGGCTGCTGGGCAGCGCAAGAGAGGCAACGAAGGAAAAGACAGAGGGGGGCCGCGCAAGAAAGTGAGGAAAGGATGAGGACCCATGGATGCATATCGCGTGGAACTTGTTGACGCGCGTCCTCGTGATTGGCATCGAGGCACTGCTTGGAACACCGGGAAGGAGTCTGTTTGGGATGAGCAGACGTGTCACGTCCAGAGAGAACGGGTGAGACGCGTCAGTCATTCAATGTCTCATCCACACCGAGGATGGGTGTGTGCTTTTCTCCGTGTGGTCCATGGGCTGCCGGGGTAGGATTGTGATGGGTGCGTATCGATTGACGTGACATCGCGTCGGTCGGTCCGTGTTAAGAGTACCACACAAATGTAATCAATCCACACTGACTGACAGGTGGGTCCCTCTCTGTACACACCGTCAGATACGCTACGCACACTGACGCACCCATGCAGCCATCCATCCATGGCACACCACGCCACACACCACACAGAGCACCCTTGAAAACGACTGAGTAGGTAAGGAGAGGGAGGGAGGGAGGGAGGGAGGGAGAGGGGCAGGTCTAGACCTGTCCGTCAGTCTGTACATGGGTCGGCTCGGCAGCAGCCACCAGCCCACAATGAATGAATGGACGAGGGAACCAACGCGAGACCGTCTTGACCCAAAAAGGTGGACAGATAGATAGATACACATCTCAACTTCATGTCGCAAAACGCCCCCAAGGCAACACGCGCCTTCGCCTCAGCTCGCTGCATCCACCACATCACACAACACACTCACAACTCACTCTTGTGCAAGATCCCGCCCTATGTGTGCTGTGCTGTGCTGTGCTGCCTACCATGGTGGTTTAGGCAGGGCCTAGAGAATGGATGCGGAAGCCCTGGCGAGTAGTCGGTTCGCGAGCCTTCGGGCCAGTCGCTTGACGTCGTAGAACTTCTCGTCCAATATGTACTCCACCGTGGCCTTCCGAATCAAGTCGATGTGCCTGATATGTCCACACACACAGAGAGAGAGAGAGAGAGTCGTCATTCGTGTGTTGATGTGGTATGTATCAAGGATTCTTGATACCTTTTGTCTGATGAGTCGAGCGGGATGTCACCGATGCCGGGGACGTTGAACCTGAAGTACATGTCGTCCTGGTCGGCCAGCCAGTGCAGCACCTCTCGGTGCACATTGGTGCTCGACGTCAGCAGGTGGCTGCTGTTCATCACTATCTGAAACGTGCTCGCCTGAACAAACACAACACAACACGCAAACCTCCGTGACTTCTTTCTCTCTCTCTCTGTGTCGCCCGCCCACCCCCGCTTTACCTGAGTGTTTTTGGCGCTTTCCCCCTGTGTGAGTTTCATGCCTGGCTGTCCGGTGCCGATGGAGACGAGTATGTCGAGGTCCTCCTCTATGAAGTGGCTCAGCTGCTTGCCGCACAGCCTCGCGCACTCCTCCAGCGCCACAAACGCAGGGTTGTTGGCCTTCATCGCACCGTCCACCAAATGAACCTGACCATGCCATTCATGACCAACCACACACACAAACACCGCCGATACGCACCGATCCACCCACAAACAGAGAGAAAAGGTCATCTCCCTCCCTCCCTCCCTCCCTCCCTGGCTCACCTGCGGCTCGATGTGTATGCCCATGGCCTCCAGTTCCTCTGCTGTCGGGCCCTTGAGGTATGTGGGTGCCGAGCTGGTTGCCCACGCAGCGGCCCAGAGGGGGAAGTGGCTGCTGCCGCGGTACTCGTGGCGCGAGTAGTGCTTGTGCTGGTAGTTGCGCAGCAGAAACAGCTGGTAGGGCTGGTGCTTGACGTCCGTGGAGGTGACGAAGCAGAGGGGCGGCCCGTATGTGTCGAGGAACCTGTTGCCCAGGTTGTCCATGAGGACGTTCTTCATGCGGCTGATGTCGTACCCCTCGAAGAAGAGCCCGGAGAAGAGGGTGCGGGAGCCGTCGAAGATCTTGCTGCTCACCGTGCCCCACATGTCCGTCATGTCCTGGATGGAGCGGCCTATTGACACACACCAATCACAACCAACACACACACACACATACTTCGTGTGTCCTCTGCTCTCTCTTTCTCTCTTACTCCACGTACCGGCAAGCAGTCCCAGAGTGATGATGCCTCCGGTGCTGGTGCCGACGATCATGTCGAAGCAGTCGACGAGCTGCACCGTGTCGCTCCCCATCTCCTTCTGCAGCTCCTTCTCCAGCCTCTCCAGGATCTTCAGCGACGAGATACCCAGCACGCCGCCCCCATCAAGCACCAGAATCCCAGCCTTCCGCAGAAACGGCGCCACGGGGTTGTTGGGCAGCAGCCGCGGCGCGCCCCCATATATGAGTGAGTAGTCGCCCTTGACGCCGAAGCCTGCCGCCGCCTTGGCGAAGACATTCATCTTGAGCACCGTGCCCTCGGTCGCGTAGAAGGACGTCGTCCGGGTCTGGTTGGCCCGCACCTCCACTGCCCCCTTGAGGACGGACGTGTGGTTTGGCGTGGGCGTGTCGGCCTTGCCTTCGGCCTTCTTGTCCTGCCGGCCGCGGCGGTCCTTCTTGGGTGGGGAAGGGGCGGGGGCGGAAGGGGTGCTCTGCGTGGCGAGGGGGGAGGCGAGCGCCCCGGGCCCCTCCCCGCCCAGCCGGCTCTTGGGCAGCATGGGGCTTGCTGCCTCGGTGGTCTTCCTGACGAGCTCGTACTCATTCCTGACGGCGATGTGCTGAATGCCGAGCCACAGGCTGTCCCAGACGGCCTCGTTCCTGTTGGTCACCGAGATGGTGTAGTAGCCGTCCTTGGTGAGGGTGATGTCGTGCTGCTGGGACTTGATCTGCCCGTCGAACACCTTGACCTCTTCCTGCTCATCGAACTCGGGGAACTCGGTCACCTTGTGAGCGACGTAGTGGTGATGGTCATCGGCATCGTCAGGGGGCGGATGGGGGAGGGCGGGACGCGCACGGGAGTGGGCATGGCCGTGTGGATGGTGCTCGTTGGTCTTGCTGCGGCTTGTTGTTGCTGCCTCTGTGCATGGCTGCGTCGTGGTGGATGTCGACGACGCTATCCAGTCATCGAATGCAGCTGCGCCAGAAGATGAAGTCACGGCCGCTGCCGTGGCTGAGGACATCTGATGCGGTCTGATGCTGCAGACTCCTTCTTCCCGCTGTTTTTTGGCGACGACGACGTCAAGCTCGCCTCAAAGCTCGCCAGAGAAGGAAGGGAAACACGCCTCCGCAGCGGCCATTGACGTGGTGTAATCACGTACACACGCATGCCTGCCCGATTTGAGCGATTCCAATGAGCAAGAGTAGACGGCAGCGGTGACGGGGGTTTCTGGATGACTTCGTTGGCGGCTGACCAGGACGGGTGGCAAGGATGGGGCACCATATTCATCGTCGTGCTGCTGGGCGCCGCGCCCACACTCACGATGGTCATCTGCATCACCGGCCTCCACCAGGTCGTGCTCGGTGAGCGATGAGACCATCCGCCCGTCCACTGATTGCCATCTCACACCCATTGCAATGCGTCTGTGCGTGTGTTTGTGTGTGTGTCCTTATTATTGCAGCATTGGTCATGATGCATTGGGTGTGCATGGGTCTGCTCACGGCGCTGTTCATCACGTTCACCTCTGCGTGGCCATACTATAATGGACTCATGAAGTCACAGCTCGAGAGGTGGGTGAGGGACACACACACACACACACACGCACAGACGTGCACACACTCCACAAGAGGGTCTCACTCAGTTGCAAATGATGTGGTGTTGGTGTTGCGTGTCGGTCAGGTGGCCGGAGCAGCTCGGCTGGTCCATTGTCGCCTTTTGCGTCATGGTCGGGGCGTGCTTCATCGGTCAGCAGACACACATTCAGCGCTCTCACGAATCGCTGCATACGTGCTGGTGCGGGTGTGTGTGTCAGGTTATGCGGTGCTCAAGTGCGGCGGGATCTTTCCGTGGTTGTGTATGCCCTTGCGCCCTAAGAACATCATCCAGGAGGGCTTCAACTACAGCGAGACCAATGCATGGCTCGTCGGCATGTACTTCACCATCGTCAACCCAGTATTTGAGGAATTCTTCTGGCGACTGGTGCTATACAGGGTCAGCACAGCACACATGCAATTTTTCCCATCCCTCCCAAGCCCACCCACATACACACACACCTCCATTCATGCAGGAGCTGGGCGGTCGTCTCTTTGCGCTCGATGAGGGTGAGTTTCTCCCTCTGAGGGACAGAGTGGCGACGGCCGAGTCCCCCTCCCCCCGGCAGCCCGTGGGCAACGCAGCGGCCGACGGTGTGGCCATCGATGTGTCGCCCACTTCACACCGGGACGTAGAAGGGGGCGCTACATGCCACGACTCGGCCGGGACATTTCATGGTACGCAGTCATGCACAACAGAGAGGCGGGGAGGGCGGATAAAGCTTACGGGTCTGTCTGTCTGTCTGACTGTCTGTCAGATGTGCGTCTGAGTGAGGTTGGGAAGATGGTTGTGTCGATGTTTTATGGTACGTATCACGTGGTTGTCGTCTACCATCTCGTCAACACGCTGTACGCCGCCTTGGCCTTCGTCTTCCTCACCATGTTCGGCCGGCTGCTCATCATATGCAGAAACACCAAAAGGTACGCCACTTGCCCACCCAACCACACGCCCTCATCAAGCGACTGGCAATGGTGTGTGTGTATGTGTGTGTATTGGCTCAGTCTCGGCATATTGACGGCGACTGCTGCCCACTCGGGTTTGGATTTGGGTGTCGTCTTGGCCATCGCAAATGTCCTCTTCTACAAATGGGTGTGATCCGCCCGACCCTGCTTGCTTCCCCTACTTCTTTGCTCTCATTCCAAGCGCGTCACCTGGGCACCCTCGGCCCTGTGTGGCACCCAGGCATTGCATTCCATTGCCTCGGCGCGGACGCGTGTACAGCTGGCTGGCTGGCTGGCTGTGTTTTCCATCGATCGACCGATCAGCAGGCCAGCCTTTCTGCCTTTCTGCCTGCCTCTTTGCTCGTGTGTGTTGCCTAACGCTACGCTGCGCTACGCCAGCTGTTAGCTGGTCCTCCCTCTCTCTCCTTGCACTTGCTCTTTTCCGCAATTACACGTATTGCTGCTGCTAGCGCTATTTTCGGCATGGCTGGATGGATGGGTTTGCTGCTGTATGTACATACGAGCATTCGCACGCACGCACAGGTCACCTCACCCGCACGGATATTCGCAGCTGCATCGATTGAATCTCGCGGATTGTCTGTTCATTCATTCACACATGCAGGAGTCAGGTGACATGTCCTTCATGGGTTTTGACAGACACCATGGCATTATGCACGATCACTCATGACTGATGGATGAAATGCTTCACACTGATGCGATGACCGACAGACAGGAGCCAGGCTGACGAGCGAGCTCCAAGCCTGGCTAGGAAGCGCATGCATGATCCGTGCGAGATGCCGTGCCTCCATCCCGTGGGGGCCGACTCAGAGACGCGCCTGGTCGTTCTTTTCGACGGCGTTCCCCTCGAGGATCCATCCACCCATCCAACCATCCGCCTATCCGTCAAAGTTTTCTAATGCCGCCTCTTCACAGTCTGGTGCTTGTTGTCTTCTTGGCGACTCTGTGTCTCTCCGATGCCTTCCTGGCGAGGCCAACAGAGACGCCTGTGGACGCCAACCAGACCAATCAGACCCGGCCAAGTGCCGGCGTGAACGAGACAGACTCTGAGCTGCTGGCACGGCTCCGGGCACTGCGTACACCACCTGCCGGTGTGAACGAGGCAGAGCTGCTGGCACGGCTCTCGGCACTGCCTGCACCACCGAGGCACCCACCTCTGCAGTGCCCTGGCATGCTGTCCGATGCGGAATGCGACTCTGAGGAAGGCTACCAGCACCCCGCCGATGTTGCAGGTACATGCATCGGCCGGTGTGTGTCACGCGTGCCTTAGCGTGTCTCGCTCTCTGTCTGTGCGTGTGTGGATGACATGTGCGTCAGAAGAGGCCACCGGCCTGTCCGACCTCGAGGAATGGCCAGCGATATTTCATGGCTGCGCCGGCACTGGCAGTGAGTGACGCTTGAATCGGCACAGAAACACTCATGCAAACGACAGGACGCAAGACAGTCGCGGCCCACGTCCATCCCTGTGTGTGTGTGTGTGTGTGTGTGTGGTGTCTCCGGTTATGAATGCAGTCAAGTGCGGGCACACCAATAAGGACGGAGAGGAGTACGGAAAGCCGGGAAAGGGGGAGTGCCCCGAAGGCATGAAGTGCTACAGCTTCAAATCCATCCAGGACGTCTTCCACAACTTCCCAAACGCCCTCACATTCACCAAGCTCAGGTGCGACGATGTGGGCCTGCAAGCCGCACTCGAAGTCTTAGAGAAGCCGGACAAGGACAAGGACAAGGAGAAGACGATCAAGGAGAACATCAAGGACGAGGAGAAGCAGAAGAAGATGGGGGAGAAGATCAAGGAAAAGCTCCTCAGAAACTGCCACTGCTGCAAGCACCAGCCGCCCGTGTCGCGCACTAAGAAGCAGATCACGATTGCCTCCGGCTCCGATAAGTCGACGGTGCACCGTGACACTGCGCCGAAGAGGTGGCGACTCACCGTGAGATGACCGGGGCCGACAAGGTGGGGATGGTCGCGACACCCTTCGTGAAGCCCGGCCCTCTGGACCCCGTGATGCCCTTCGGCTTCCTAAGAAGCGGACGCCGAGGCGGGAAGGAAAGAATCAAGCCTGAGAGACACACAGGGGGAGAGAGAGAGAGAGAGAGAGAGAGGGGGGGAGAGAGAGAGAGAGAGAGGGAGGTGTGTCAAATCAATGGATAGCTGGCGGAAGCAGTGCATCATCTTAAGGGACGGCAGGAGACATCAGTCGCAAGGACGGACGGACCGACGTGTATGAAAGGCTGGCAATGTCGGTACACTTTTACGTCACTCGGGCTGCATGGACTTCCCAGTCCCAATCATTCGTCCGTCCATTGGAACAAACACATTCTGACAACGAAACAACTACTTAAAGCGGTCCATAAAAGACGCCTACACGAATACATCAAAAGTAGCGCCTCACGAGCGACATGTGAGAAGCAGTAAATGCACCCACAGGAAGAAGGCGGACACATTGCTAATGGTCTCTAATGGTCTCTACAGGCAGGCCTTCCCATCCGAGTGGGCAGCTGTTTGCTTTGCTTGGTCATCGATTGCCATCTTGATCGGCTTCGGCCGTCACAGTCTCTTGCCTAAGGCCAAACAAGCCAGCATCGTCCTGGTCTGGTTGCTCAAAGCCACCTGAGGAAGGACATAAGGAACAAATCAGCACAGCTCCCATAGATATTCTAGATATTCTCTTTTGTGTTCTTACTACCCACCCCTCTCTGGGCCGGGCCGGGGGCCAGCACCGCAGACCGTACTACCAGGGGGGCAGGGAGGAGTGTAGAATATCCATCCACTTCCAGGGGAGACTTCCTCGCACCATCCGCGTTCCACGGGCCTCTCGCACTCATCATCAGCCACATACACGACAACATCCTGCCGCCAAGAAACAATCCCTGCTATCGTGGCCAGTCGGATGGTAGAAACGACGGCGTACCACTTGAGCTGTGTCGTTGCCGAACGGCACAATATATGCCTCCAGAAGAGAGGCATTTATCGCCAACGACATATTGTATGCCTGGAGATCCTCTGAGTCATTTCCATCCAGACGGTACGTAACCTCATCCTCAAAATCATCGGCATGACCCTCTTCAGAAAGACACGACGGCTGAAGCGACGTGCTCGTGCTGGACACGACGGTAGATTCCGAGCCCCATTTCTTCCTGCACGAGCACGTAGTGAATGTCGATGTGTCTGTGTGCATCTCACCTGCTCCTTACCTGTCCAGAAACGTGAAGATGTCTGCGTCGCCAAGGATCGAATTCGAAGCGACAATCACTCTGGAACTGACAGCGGAAACGATCCTGAAGGGACGAGAAGAGGTTCTAGAACATCGATGTATCTATGCGCGTTTCGCCCCTCTCACCTGTCAAGAAACTTTAAGAGATCTCTATCACCTCGAAGCGAATTCGATGCGACAACCACCTCAGCAAAGCCATCACTGCGGAGCTCATCCTGAACGGATGAGAAGGGGTTGCACATGCTGGAGGTGTCGGCTGGCTGACTTACTCGTCTTACCAGATCGACGGAGATCTTCCGATAGTCGCCCGGCTGGATGGTCGCATTGAATCTCTCCAGGACGCGGCACTCCTCCTGCAACTTGACGGTGGGCGGAGGCGTTGAGGTGGGACTGGCATTGGCGGAGCCTCTCAAGCTCTGCGCGGGCTCCTCAAGCTCCTGCCCGTCCGCCGCCGTCACCTGAGCCTCACACAGCACTCCATGTGACGCCAGCAGCAGCGCAGTGAGGGGCACGAGGGCACGAGCCATTCTTGAGAGTCAGTGAAATCCACGAACTGCAGTCTCGGTGGCGTGGGAATCCCCGGTCGGCGTGACGACATGAGGAGAGTAGACACAGAGCGGGGAGAGATCTCTCCATCCTAAGCTCGCACGAGTAGAACGATCCTGGCCAATAAACGAGGAGCTCCTGCCTGCCCCCCGCAGTCACCGTGCCTCACACAGCACCACACTCGCACTCGAGTCAAGGGACCGGAAAAGAAGCCATTCTGGCCGACTTTCCCCACAGTGTACGCGGCGAAGACGTTACGGGCGAGAAAGACGATGCATATCACCACAATCCTCTCCGCGCTGCTTCTCACCACCGCCGCACGCTGCCAGTCCATCACACCGGGGGAAAGAGGGCAGCTCGAGGAAATCCTCACCGACATCAAGACGAGGCTGCTCGAGTTGGATCACCCCCGGCTCGGTAGACCAGAATGACGACGCCTTCCTGAAGCCTCCACGTCCGCCGCCTGCCAAACACCCTGACAATAACCGGCAGCCGCCAGCCTCCCCCGTGAGCAGCTCGCGCAGTCGCCCACGCAGCTGCCCCGTGGTGTCGCCTCTCCCTGTCGAGGCCCATGAAGACAGCCCAGTGCACTTCTCGTCCCTGCCGACGCGACGCATCCCCAGCGGCCGGGAGCAGTACATACGAATGGACCTGGTGAGCGGGACGAGATGTGGGAGGGGGCGGGTAGGTGCTGATGGTGTCTGTGTTTGTGTCCGTCTACGTGTGCAGAGTCACGCTCGCGAGGCAGGTTTTGATGACGTCATATTGGCTGCCAACTCCCACTTCGGCAACGCTGACCTGGCCGTGCAGGCAGCGGACGGGTATGCAGACAGACAGACAGACAGACAAGCAGAAGGCACGACACGCTGATGGGCTTTTGCGTGTCCCTTATGTCAGCACCGTGTCCACGAGTACGGCCGTGTCTGTCCGTGACGATTTCGTGTACGAGGATTATGTGGTGCTGCCTGTGGCCAGCGGTGGGACGGCCCATGCATTCGTCGTCCCTGTGGGCAACACACACGCCGATGTGGTCAGTCCACCGCAGCGAGCCAACAACGCCGATCTCTCCGCCTGTCTAGCTGCGTGTCTTCATTTCTTGAGTGCAGACGGTGTTGCTGTCCTTCCACAAAGATGGCGACTGTGTGGTGCCGTTCAAGATCGCCGGACTCGACAAGTCTGTCAGCGACCCCTCCATCATCCGCCCCAGTGATAAGCCAGCGTCCATCATGATGAGACACGCCGACCCCAAGCCCGCCCCGCCAAACATGGACACCCTCGACACATACCAAAACACGCCATGCGTCGACCCCGGCCTCACCGAGGAGGCCCAGAGGATCGTCGACGGCATCCGCAAGGGAAGCGGAGACAGCGAAGGTGAGAATCTGATGGCCAAGATGGGGCTGGAGCGGTCTGTGTACCGAATGGGCGGCAAGACACATACGCTTTGGAAAGGCAAGGTCAGTTGAGCTCTCAGCTGATTGGGCAATGTGATGTGAATGCATGGCTGTGGAATGCTTGCAGGCTGCTCGCGAGGCCAGCGGGGAGCGATGCGATCCTGCCGGTGCCCACATGCCGATCACGCACTATTACACCAGCTACTGTAAGCATGTTCGTGTCACCCACCGATGCGCGCGCATACACACGTGGTGCACATCGATTGTTGCCTCCTCCGGACATGTCCGCCATAGCCCTTCCTCTCCCACTTGCGTGCACAGGCGATTACTACGAAGGGTATGAGTATGCAGTATATTACTACTGTATTCCTTACGATAACGGAGACATAGATGAATATGACTACTGTACGTCGTCAGGCCCACGAGCACAAAGAGAGGGATATGATGATATGCCATCCATTGATGTGTGTGTGTCCCCCCTGTCTGCAGACTGTTATTATTACTACTGTGATTACTACTACGATTACTATTACGACGATGAGGGCAACAGCACCAGCAGTGCTGGCCAACCGACCACATAGCTGTACTTACGTGTAGACTGCGTGTGTACACTCATGCGTTCGATGGATACGTGTGTTTGTTGGTATGATTTGTGCGGGTCGTTTGTAGTCTTCAGTGACGCCCATGCACACGCACACACACGCACTGGCAAGTCGGGCAAAGCACCGGGGTGTCTCTGATGTTGTGCGTGTTGCCTCTTGTCTATTTGTGTACATCTAGCGCGTTCCAAGAGCCATGCATTCGTCTGCATGTGCTGCAAGTTTTCCGTACATCATGATGTGATGTCTCTGTCATGGTCGGCCGTCACTGGACGCGTGTGTTCTAGGACTGTCCGTATTAGAGGTATTCTATGGATTCTAGGAGCCGTCTTCTGCCTTCAGCACTCATTCAGGCGACAGGCGCGTCGGGCAAAGCACCGGGGTGTCTGTCTCTGCCTCTTTGTATATCTATTTGTCGCCTCAAGAGACATGTATGTCTTCACGTATATCTCTACCTACACTGCAGCCACCTTTCTTCTTTTGTACATGCCATCGATCGCCACTTGACGAATGAGCAGATAATGTCTCTCTTTTTGCTGCATACGACCGTAATTGGCTCGTCATGTTTGTGCACGTGTGAAGCTGGGGGCGATTCTTTAAAAGGAAGAGCAGCACGGCGGAGCATAGTGTATTTCTTTTCCTTCATCAACACTCCCTTCATTTATCCTCTCCATCTGTCCTTGACCAAGCGCAATGACACGACTCACGTCAGCAATCGGCCTGCCTTATTAAGCATGCACATCATGACGGGCTATTTGCCCACCAATGATACTTCAGGACCACAGAAATGCAAACACACTGTCTGCGGTGTCGAAATCTAGCCGGCATCTCATCCGAAACGGTCATCAAAATCATCGTCATCATCTACACGGTCGGGCTCTTCGTAGTCATCTGCAGGTGGTGGAGGTCCAGGGCCTGGAGCGGTGACGGGCGGTGGGAAGGTGCCGTCGGGACCGGGGAAGAGATCGGACGATGTGGCTACGGGACTGACGCACACCTCACCCAGGGGATACCCCGCGTCGACCAGCCACACGGACACCTCCTGAACACGGCCACACACACACACAGAGAAAGATGGAAAGAGGCATGAGGGTTGGCTAGGTAGCTAGTTACTAGCTGACCACGTCTGCGTCTTCATCAGTGAATGGGAAGATGACGATGAACAGCTCCTCGCCGATTAGCGGCACGACGGCTACATCCTCATACACGTCTGGGTCGTAATCGCTCGGAACACTGCTGCCGCCCACAAAGAAGCTGCATTCGTGTGCGCATGACCGGACGCACAATGAAATGAGTCTCGCGCTTTCCGCCAGCCCCGTCATGTCTTCGGCTCTTCCTTCTTACCCGTCGATGGCGACAGAGATATCAGCGTCGCCTGTTAGACTGTTTGTGGCGACCACAATGGCCCCAGCGTCCTGTAGCTGCGACTGCACAAACCAGACAAAAGGCACGCAGACGCCCAACTAGGAGTGACCCGAATTCGCCCTGTACGTTGCTCACCAGGTTTTCGATGGTGATTGTCCGCACGCCGTCGGCAGGAATCACTTCGGGGGGTTCCACATCAATCACTTCACATTCGTCCCCCTCCTGCTCGCCAGCTGCAGTCACATCCACCACAGACATGCCACTTGGTGTCGCAGAGTCATATTATACCTGGTGGAAAGAGCAGCCTGGGTAGGTCTGGCGCTCCCTGGCACGAACAAGCATTTTCAGAGAGCATTATTCATGATCAGTGCGGCGTGTGTAATGCTGAGGGGTCACCTCTGCCGCCCAGAGAGTCTGTGTCAGCGTACTGAGGGTGTCGCTGACGTCGAACTCCACCTTGGTCAGGCCCGCCTCGACAAACGCGCTATCTAACTCCCTCCTGCCGCTCTCCCGAGCCGTCTGGATTGCCCGAAGGATCATTGATTTGGTGCTGACCTTAAGCTTGGCAGATGCCTCACGCACACCATGCCCCACGGAGTCTTCTCGCAAACGGAGCTGCTGCCTGTCGGCCGGAGCAACCTGTGCCCCACACAGCAGTCCGCCGAAGGCCAGAAGGAGGCGCCAGACCATCATCAAAACCGCAGCTCAGCCGTTGGTGCGACAAAACGTCTTATACAGTGTACTTAGGAAAGCAAACCAGAATGGCGATGCCGCATTTTCCCGCGTTTGTGCTGGCCCTCCTGCTGCTCCTGCAAGGCGTGTCGCGCTGCCAGTCAGAGATACACGCGCAGCTGGCCGAAGCCAGCTCCCAGATACACTCCCGTGTGGAGGAGATCCTCGACACGCTGCTGGGGTTCCTCAGCCAGACCCACGATGCCAAGGACGACGTGCCGCTGATGGTGCACCACGCCCTCAAGAAGGCACGACTCGGGAAGAAAGCCCACGACGTTTTTCGAGGTGCGAAGGCAGAGGCAACGCTAGCTGCTGTGGTGAAGGCAAATGAGTATTGACGCCTGGTGTCTGTGACGCGGGTGTGGTGTTTTGCTGCAGACATGGGGATGGCCAAAGTGGAGTTTGAGATCGGCGAGATCAAGCAGACGCTCTGGCGAGCAAAAGTAACACACACACCATACAGTACACAACCAGCTGAGGAATGTGCGCAAGTGCTGGGTGTGCCGTGTATGTATACGCGCCTAAATTGCAGGATGCACCAGAGCTTCCGAGGCTCCACTTCTCTCCAGGTGCGCGTCCACAGGATAAAAAGAGAGGGCAATGATGTATGTTGATGTCCCTGTGCCCATCTGCAGCAGGAGAAGGTGACGAAGTAGAGCCGTGTCGTGTGTTTGAGTTGGAGCCATCTAGGAGGGAGCTGCCCGGAGATTTCACAGAGTTTTGGGAGATCAATGTCCCTCTGGTACGCGCGTGATGCGTCAGCGCCACACACGGCGACAAGCCACGTGTGAGGAGATGCTGTGTGTCTGTCTTGCAGGAGGCGGCGGAGAAGGCAGGGGCAATAGTGGTTGCTATCAACGGCTTTGAAGGCGATCCCGACATGGAGACTTTTCTCGATGGCGGGTAAGTGGGTGGATCAACACAGCCGGGCGGAACACACAACAAGATGAGCCTCTCTCGTCTGTCTGTGCAGCGTGTTTGCGGGCGGCTCGTACATTTTGCCTGATGGCGACGATGAGGTTTACGAGGACGTGGTGATCCTCCCCAATATCGGGAAACAGCTTGACATCTTCATCTACCCAGCCACCGATGAGGACGTCGACGTGGTGAGCAGCGAGGAGGCAGGCAGGCAGGCAGGCCTGACGTCCACATGGTCTCCCTTTTTGTGCTGTGTGTGTATCCATCAGGCCGCGGCGGTCTTCTTCATTGAGTCTGGCACGTCGCTGAATGAGCTGTGTGATTTCCCGGTCAAGGTGCCGTTGGTCCTCGACCTGTACACAGCCGCCGAACCAACCACCGCCGCCATCACCGACGACGCACCAGCCACCACCACGAAGGCGCCCAAAAAGAAATGGGCGGCACCACGATGAAGGCGGCCGGGCAGCCCCGGTGTACGGTGCTTGGACGGGCTGATTGCCTCCCCTCCCCTACTGACTGCCTCAGAGGACAGCCATGGTCTGATCCGTGGCTTGTTGATAACGACGTTGAGTATTTTTGGCTCACTTGTTCCGTACATGTCCGAGGATGGATTTGACTTTAGTCAGTGGTGTGGGTGTGGTGTGTTTCTGAGCGGCTGCTGAGGGATGGATGGATGGATGTCACTGTCTGTGTCTCTGACTGACAAGCGAGAGGGTCTCGTGTGCCTTTGTGCTTCTGCCTACATGCTGCTGACAGTGATGCAACTAATTCACACAACTCACAGTATTCTTGGTATATTTCAAATGAATCAATCGATTGTTTAGTGGCGATGTGCTAATTCAGCATTGACACCGAAGCTTCATCACCCAACCACACAGTGAGTGTCCTCACATTCACACACATAAAAGGTAGAGGGAGGGTCAAGCAATCGTGCAGAAGCCGCCTATTAGCTAACTGACAGAGACCCACATCCCAGTTTTGCCTGGGCAAACAAGTGGGGCTTCCAGATTGCACGTGTTAAAGCAGGGGAGCCAGAAGACCCTCCTGGTGAGACCCGACTGACGCAGTCTGGAAGCGACAGTCTCGCCTCGCCAAGAAAGGCCTTCTGGCTCCCCTGGTCACACCAGCCGTTTCTTAAGCCATGAGACCTCTCTACGCTGCAATGTGACCCCCCTCACTCACGGGCTTGTCTAGTCGATGAGTGTTTCCACAAGTGATGCTCTCGGCCTCGCGGCCGCATCGTCCCACACCGTCTCGAACTGCACTCGGTCGCCAACCCGCAACACATACACACCTGCACAAAGCACCCATACGCAGGCACGCGGCAGCCTCAGGTGACCTCTTCATTTGGCGGTTGACTGACTGGCTGACCTTTGTCCTCTCCCTCCTTCCACTCGAGCTTGCGCCGTGCCCGCCTCTTGCGACGGTCACTCGCAACCGATGCAGCTGAACACACAACACAGACATGTAAGGCAGCGAATATGGGACGCCATGACTTGACATATTTGTTATCCCCACCGGTTGCCGCAATGTCTGTGTGGTGGACATAAATGTCAGGGCCGCCTCCCTCGGGCGCTGAACACAGCAGCACAGTCGACCACAGGCTGTCAGTGAGCTGGTGTTGTCAACTTCTCTCCCACTCCATCATCTCATTCGGCTCACCGATGAAGCCGTATCCCTTGGCCTTGAAGAACGTCCTCACGTGGCCAAACACCTTCCGCCTCTTGGCAGGCAGCGAGGCCATGATCTCATCCTCGAGAGAGGCGGGTGCATCTGTTCTCATGCTTCCTGCCGGCGATGTCAACCATCGCGCAGCTGCGGCTGTGTAGCCACTCATGGGAAAGAGCGCCTCACATCTGCTGGCGGTCAAGGCGGCTGCGCTCATTCTCATGCGCCTCATCAGCCAGCACAGATGGCAGCGATGCGGCAGGGTTAGGGTGTAGGGTTTTGGGGCGAGAATCGCGCGAGACGAGGAGACTTGCCTCCTTTTTCTTTTTTGGTCTGATGCCTTTTTTCCGCGAGGCACACAGCCTACCACACAGCAGGTGTGGCTGGCCCAGCAGAAGGGCCTGACGGTCGACCCCACCGTGCCACAGCGGAGCGGGAAATACGGCACGGCGTTCGCCAGGAGGGACAAGAGGGGCGTCCGCTGGGCTGTCAAGATGCTCTCCAACGACCACATGGACTGCGCCCAGCCGGTGAGTGAGTCCACAGAGCTGTCCACTGGCACGGCTCACCCGCACTTCGTCTGTATGCGTGCAGGTTGAGGGTTTCCTGCGGACCGGGAACGACCTCTGGGTGGAGGACTGCCGCCAGCAGGCGCAGAGGGCCACCGAAGAGGGCGTCGAGCAGCCGCCCAGGAGCATCGTCCGCGTGGCCGAGACGTACCACATCCCCATGCCGCCCCACGCCCAAGGGCACCACCTACAGGGGGTGACAGCATACCGCATGGAGTGGATAGACCGTAAGTCACAAACATTAGACGGCTGGTTGTTTGTTGAGCTCTTAGTGTACCTGTCTGTCTATCTGTGCTGGCTGGCTGGCTGGATGGATGGATGCAGGCACGTTGGCCGACCTGACGGGGCCGCTGCCCGATGCCCAGCTGGCGGGCATCGTGAGGGACGTCGTCGACGCCGTGCACTACCTGGGGCTGCGGGGGCTGATCCACGGCGACATCCACGTAGACACTCCCCCTAACCTCACACACACGAGCGCTGCTGAGGTTTGGGGTTCATCTGTGTGCCTGCCTGCCTGGCTGGGTGGTTACCTCTCTGTCTTGTTTTATGTATTTAGCACAAGAACATAGTGGTGCGTGGGGGAGGCGGTGCTGCTTTGGAGGGGGTGCTGATCGACCTGGACAGGCTGCACCGGCAGGACGGCGACCGGCTGTACATTCCCAACCAAGCCAACAGCGCCTTCGAGCCAGAGGCCCTGCTGTCGCACTCTGCCGACATGCAGGCTGCCACGTGGTGACTGCTGGAGGTCATGGACCGCCTGCAGGCCTCCGACCGCATTATGGACGTCGTTGGGGAGGCCAACAATGGGGGGCACCCCCTCGTCGTGCGGCGCATGGTACGCATACCCGGAAACAGACAGACAGAGAGAGAGTAGAGAGTGAAGTGTGTTAATTCCTTCCTCATTCATTGCGTGCCTGGTATGTGAATGTGTGGGTGCAGGTGCAGCGCGACCTCGGCGACCTCCTGGCGGCCATCCCCGACGTGTCTCCCCCTTCCCGCACCAGCAGCAGCAGCAACTGCCAAGCCACCCCCCCACTCTCACCGCCTTCATGCATGATGCCGGCCCACCTACGCCCCGTCCTCCAGGACGACAGCGGCAGCACCGACCCCATGGCTGCCCTCCCACCACCACGGCGGCCACCACCATTGGCCGCACCATCCAAGGCGCCCATGTCGGCCACATGTGAGTATGTGTGTGTATGGCATGTGTGTTTACAGGAGAGCTGTCGGCGCCTCTGACCGACTTCGTCTTGCCGCTCGGCGTGCCCGTCGTCAACGTCTACAAATTCGCCCGCAAACTCAACGTTAGCAGAAGTAAGCCAATGACCGATCAGCAGCACTCAATCCACAGACAGCGATGTCCTTTATGATGGTGTGTATGTCTATGTGCGCATCGCATCAGGGCCTGACAAACATCGCGGAGAGAGATATGCCATGCGCCTCAACTTCGTAGGAACGCTGCTGCAGGGCGAGTACTGCTTCATTCGCCGGGCGAACTCTCTGGAAGAGGTGGGTGGGGGAGGGAGGGAGGGAGGGAGGGAGGGATGGAGGGAGGAAGGGAAGGCACCCATCCAGTTCTGTCTTTCTAATTGTCTGTCTGTCTGTCTGTCTGTCCGCTGCAGGACAAGAGCGGCGATATCTACGAGACCTTCACCTGCGAGCCGCCTTATCCATTCGTCATGACGCTCGATAGGTCAGTGCATTGCGTGAGTCATCCATCCATTCATCCATCCATCCACCCACACTCACACACACGAAGATGCGCTACAACCACACACCATCCATCCATTCATTCTTTCATTGCCCTGTGCGTTGGCCTCTCAGTGAGGTTGCCCTGCAGGTAGCGTCAGTCGATAACCGCTACCGGAAGACCGTCATGGGGGAGTGCCGTCTGCCTCTGCGATCAGCCATGGTGTCGAGCCCAAGAAGGGGCGGCTGCATGGCTGACCATACCGGTGAGGTCGGGCACGCCCATACGTGTCCAGTACTCATATGAGCTCAAAAGGGGTTAGATAGCAGAGACGGGCAGGCAGGGGCGGCTCGAGCCAATCGCTACCTACATTTTATATACTCCTGTTTGATGTTTGAATGATATTGATGACTGTATGAGCTCAATACCTATATGTGTGTGTGGCAGAGAGAGAGAGAGAGAGTCTGCATTCGGTGGGGAATGGGGCAGACAGGTAGAGAAGCGGATATCTTCTGTTGGCACGGCCGACATGGGCACAGGTGATGGAAAAGTAGTGAGACAGCCTGGCAGCCACTCCGGGACATCGCTAGGGCAAGGCAGGCAGGCAGAATCGCTGCTTGCAACTTATATTTCGTGTCTGATGCAGTAATGCTCAGTTGCGAACGGAGACACAAGCCAACAACATTCCGCAGCAGGCACCTGTCTGTGTTTGGTCTCTTCATCCATCCATCCATCACATGCATTTGTTGCACCCATTTGTGCGTGTCGTCATCCTCCGTCCTTCAGCCCTGCTCGTCGCCTGCATGAAGGCGTTGGACAACAACTCGTCGTGTTTCTGTATGTGTTGTTGGTGGGTGTAGGTGACTGACTGTCGTTCATGAGGTCGTTCTGGATGTAGGACTGTGCGATCTGGCTCGCCTGCATGATGTGGCCGTCGCCCTCGTCGTTCTGACCACGCGACACCACACACAATATATGAGGGATGCATCCATGCATTCGGTTGTGACGTGCAATATACCTCCTTGGTGAGTGTGTCGAGTTCGTCGACCTTGTGTGAAAACTCGCTCAGCAATGCCTCACACCTGCACACAAAGAACATGTCTGTCCATGTCTCTCTCTTTCCGTCTGTCTTTCCTCTCCTTACGATGCGTGTGTGATCTGCGAGAGGTGCTCCATCATCGACGATACCCACTCGTTGAACTCACGCAGCAGACTCTCTGACACACAAAGGAGACAGCCAATCGGCGAGAGAGAGAGACGTGTGTGCTTCCTCATCGACCCACCAGCGTCCTCACGCAAACGTTCCTCACACACACGTAACTTGGACACAACCTGACACACGAAAAGCAGTGAATGCATCACCGGATGTGTCTCTCCCTCTGTGCCGTACCTGGTCTGTGTCATCGTGTGTTGCCTGCTCGTCCTCTGCGCCCTCGGTCTTGCGACGCTTCGCAGACGAGTCGCGACCCTCACCGTCGACCATAGTGAGCAGAAGTGGGTGAGTCAGCAAGCTGGACACGATTGTGAGTGAATCCAAGAGGGGTTCAAATATCTCAAATCATGTGTATGTGTCCCATTCGCACACATACACACACACACACATACACATACGCATACCAAACGCAATCCACCGCACATACGTATACATATACATGTGGTCTCAGCACGGCACACACATAAACAGAGAAACAGAGAGAGGGGGTGGGAAGCAGAGGCCGAGGGGGCGAAAGAAGGCAAAGTCAAAACCGTTGTCTGTGCCCAGAGGCATCTAACACAACCAACCGACCGGGGGCACACACGCTCCAGTGACTGACTTATATACAGCACGCTCATCATGTGACGCACGCACGAAAACCGAAAGCAATTCCCTCCCTCCATCCATGTATCCCTCACTACACACAAAAACCCCGCGAACCGCACCTACCCCACAGGCAGTAA